CTCAAAGCTGGAGCTGTTGGAGCCTCCTGGGATTCACGAGGATCCTGGGATTGGCCTCCTGCCCCACAGGGATCCAGCCTGGGGCTTGGAAAGGGAACTCCCTCCCCTCAGGCTCTGACAAGGGGGGCAAAATGGGTGGGTTTCCTGCTTTTCCATCTGGGAAACATCCCAGGGGATGCTTTTCCCACAAACCCTGGACGTGCCCAGGGCAGTTCTGGTTTGTTCCATCCGTGGATCAAACCCATTCCCGCCCCCGAGTCCCCAAATCCCAGTTCAACCAGTTAAAAATCCTGCAGTGGGAAACTCCAGCCCTGGAGCTCCGGGATGCTCGTGGAATTTAGTTTGGGAAGTTCCCAAAAATCCTCTCCGTGGGGGTTTTTGGTGTCCTGTGGGATGGGACACCCGAGCCCGCCCGGGCTCTGCGGCGCCGCTTTCCCAGCGGGAATTCCGGCGGGAATTCCGGAGGCTCCCATTGTCCCACCTGGCAAAGGACGTGGCAAATCCCAACCCGGAGCCGTGTCCTCGTTCCCAGATCGACCAACTGCGGGCGGAGCTGCTCCAGGAACGCTCCAGCCGCCAGGACCTGGAATGTGACAAGGTGTCTCTGGAGCGGCAGGTAGGGATGAGCCACGGGAGGGATGGATCCAGCTGGATCCAGCACCAAATCCCTGTGTCCCGGGGGCAGCTGGATGGACCCTGTGCCCAGCGAGGCACTCAGGGAAAAGCCTCTTGGAGCATCCCTTGGGAGAGAAGCCACATTCCCAAGGAGCTCTTCCTGCTGTCAAATCATTCCTCCTCTGTGCTCCGGATCCATCCCATCATTCCCATTCCCCATCCCTGGAGCTCTCTGCCACCTCCCAGAGCGCCTTTCCCTGCAGAATTCCCCCCTTTTCCCTCGTGATTCCCACCTGTCCTGCCGGGACTTGCTCTCCCAGCCCTTCGTTACTTAACGAGCTGGCTCCTAACGAGCTGGATCGATGGGAACCGACCTCCCCGAGCTGGGCTCGTTCCCACTCTGGAATTGCCACTTCCAAGGGCTACTGTTGACACCTGGGGGGGGATTTGGGGGAATTTTTTGGTCGACAAAGGGGTTCAGGAGCAGGAATTGGGGAGGTGAAGGGGGATGAGCATCGCGGGGTTGTCGCACTCGGTGTTCCCAGTGTATCCCAGTGTATCCCAGTATATCCCAGTCCCCTCCGACCTCTCCTCGTGCCCAGGCCGGTGCCAACACGTTAATTGGTGTTATATAACCCGGCTCCTCCTTGGAAAAGGCTTTCTGGGCCCTGACTCACCCCTGGCTTTACATAAGCCAGGCCTGGGAGCTTCCCCGCCCAGCCCGGAGACCCAGGGAGGGGGTGACAGGGATAAAATTTTGGGGAGGGGATTTTGCAGAAGTG